AGTAGCAGCCAGTTTCCTGAGCAAGATGATGGGGAAACTTTGGTTACATTGATTTCAATAAAAACTCTCATTTATATGTCTTAGAAGACTTATAAGAATATAGAAGGGGAATATAGGGTCTGTATATAGATTATACACAAGTTCAGACTTAAGCATAAGTAGTTACAATGACTGCTCTGTGCCCTGCTGTCTTGGTCTAGACTCCTTTCCGCCCCACATGCTTCACAGTAACTGTACTGTGGGGAGATTGCAGTGTTGGATGAGCCCAGGAGACTGGTTCACTGATGAGAGAGTAATTTAAACTCCTAAGTCAAAATCCTGCTGGATTTCCGTCTTTGTCAAAGGCCAGTCTAGACTGGGCAGCCACATTGCCTGTGGAAATACCTATGACTCCAGTCCTTGCCAACCCTTTGACATGTGCTTATCTGTCAGCATGAGCAGTTTCATTGAAGTCTGTTTTCAGAGCAAAGCAATCTGCGTGCCTAAGTGTTCACAAGCTGAGATTTAAAATCTTGTGCAACCGGAGGCTGGCAGTGTGACATTTCCGAATTTCCTTCAACACCTGATCATTAGCAAATACCAGCAATGACACAATACTCAGCAGTGCTGAGAGTTGCAATTGGAGGGTGACTATTTTGGGAGCACAGAGTGCTTTGAAAAAGCCTGTTTCAATTTGTAAAGGACGCTGATGCAATACACGGTTGTGGTGCTGAGTAAACATGTTAGTTATGCTTTGCCTCATCCGTCATATGCTACGCAATCTGAAATACCTGCTGTGCAGCAGGACAACAAACTCCACGAAAATGCCAGTGAACCAAGAGTAACCACAGAGTGGCATCTAGGACATTTATTTCCTGATTCAAGTTGAGATGAATACTGCAGAACTCAGCAACTGTAATGCAATTTTTGGTGAGAGGTGGTTGCTATTTTATGGATAACAACCCTGGTGGCACTGCTGTTTATCTGAATAGTGGGATCCTGTTTAACATCTTCATTAATGATCTGGACGATGGGGTACAGTGTAACCTCAGCAAGTTTGCAGATAACCCAAGAGGAGGAGGAGTGGCTAATGTGCCAGAGGGTTGTGCTGCTATCCAGAGGGACCCTGACAGTCTGGAGACTGGGCTGACAGGAACATCATGAAGTTCAACAAGCAGAAGTGCAAAGTCCTGCATCTGTGGAGAAACAATCCCGTGCAGCTGTATATGCTGGGGGTTACCCAGCTGGAAAGCAGCTTGGCACAAAATGACCTGGTGTTCCTGGTGGACACCAAGTTGAACATGAACCAGCAACGTGCCCTTGCTGAAAAGAAGGCAAATGGTATTCTCAGCTGCATTAGATGACATATTGCCAGAAGGTTGAGGGAGGTGACTGTTCCCTTCTACTCACCCTTGGAGTACAGCTAACAACCACCAGGCTCTCTGGAGAAGTCTCTGTCCATGACAAACTGACACAGCGGAGTCATGGCCTCTATTTGTCCCTGGAGCAGGAGGAGTATAGTGATGTGTACCTCGTCCTATCTCATCTATCAACTAGACAGTACTTTATAAGCACTCCCTGAGGCATACAGAATGCTTCTGTTGATGGCTGCCATGCAGACATATAAATAAAGAGTATCTCAGACCACAGGACAGATTGAGGGCTGCTGCAGGGCACAGTCATATTTGTTCGTCTTTCCTCATATTTCAAGAGTATGAACTCTGATTTCAAAGACTGCCCCGGCCCTGTTTGTGTCACTGCCAGATACTAATTTTTCTGTAATGAAGCTGTCATTTAATCTAAAATCATAAAATAATTTAAGCCAGATGGGATCTTTGGAGGCCATTTGGTCCAAAGTATTTTTTTAATATCTCAAAGAACAGTGAACCCACAGCTTCTCTGGGCAACCTGTTCTACCGTTTGGTCATCCTAACTGTAAAGAATCCCTTCCTTGTATCTAGTAAGAATTTTTCCTGCTACAACTTGCACCCATTGCCTCTCATTCTTTCACTGTGCGCTGCCAGGAAGACTGTGGGTCCATCTTCTCCATTATTATGGAGCTTCATAGCTAAACATTAGGTTGTTGAAGGCAGCCAACTAATTTCCCTGTTAGCCTTCTCTTCTCCAAACCAAACAAGCCCAACTCTCTTAGCCTCTCCATTATAGAGTCATTGTGTTACTGTTTTCCTGTGTCAAATATGACACAGCAGTGTATGTTCTTTACTCTCTGAAGATATTAGTAATATTTAATTATCCATATTTACTGATGATGGATGCTCGGCTAAGTGGGACTCAACTGTCTGTGTCTTTACTAGCCAGAGTGCTCAAGGTTTTATACCATGTTACTCCTGTGTAGTAGGGGCAGAAACCATTTCTAAAGGCCCAATCCATAATGTAAAAAGTGAAAGTGAAAACTCAGTCTTGGCTTTAAGTCAAGACACTCCAGTTTTCAGACCCTCTACATCTCTTTTCACAATGAAACTGAAAAAGAGCTCTCCCCACTCAAAGACATCTTGGTATTCTTGAACAGAGTCAAGAAACACTCCAAAAGAGTTCCACCGTGTTATGCACAAATAAGAATTAGAGACAAACTAGGTTATTCCTTACATACAGAACAGCACTTTCACAATATATTCTTAAGTCTTCAGATCCCTCTGTAGATTTCTAAGGCCCAAACAGAAGCATCATAATATTTTATTGTATTACATGATGCTAATAACTACACCCATTTTCGCACCTGCCATTGTTTCATGAAGATGCCACTCATATTTCTTGTCTTTTGTGTGTTTTAAAATAACAGCAGTAATTGCTGACTATATGCATTAATATAGGTCAACTCATGGGGTCCAACTCTAGAGCAAACGGCAGCATTGCAGGCATAACACCCTCCCTCCATCACACACAAGGGACTTCCTCTCCAGCTGCTTGGTGCCTAAGTAACTGCCTATCCTGTCTGCAAGCCAGTGCTGGCAGAGCAGCTAGGATGCTATCTGTTGGACTGGAGTGGAAATGCAGAGCACCACATTCTCCAGATGGCAACTAAGGGCTAAATTTCTATCAAACAGACACCTCTGCCTTGGAGAATGGGTGCGATGTCAAGGGTACCTCTCTGATGGAGCAAGCATGCCATGCTGGTCTTTACTCAGACAAATTCTTTTGGCTTCAGTTGAAATTTGCTTGAGTGAAGACTAACAAATATCTTAGGATTTGACTATTGCATCTCATTTGCTTACAGAAAAATGGTGATAGTAAAAATAACAATGAGAACCTTGTGATTAATGTCACATTTAGACTTACATAAAGGACAATGCCGCACTTTCTCATGCTTTTAAGAGATTTGGGTAAGTGAAAAGAGAATCTGAAATGAGCAAGATTTTGCACATGCTGCATTTATTTTTTATGACTTTCACCAGACTAAGGAACATTAAAATTGTATTTTGTCATGACTCTCATAGAAGAGTCCCTTATTCTCATGTTTTCTTTTGGTTTGGTTGTTGTGTGATTGGTTGTTTTTTGGGGGTTGTTGTTTTGATTTTTCTTCTTACTATAACCATGACTCCTGTTATCTTGGGATTTTTGCATGTGGGTGGACGGATATGATGGTAAGCAGTTGAACCAGTTCAATGAGAACCTTGTGAGCTGCCAAACTAAA